AATCGTATATTCAATTGAAACATATTTAAACGTTTTCAGTGGATTTTCAGATCTTACTATAAAAACAAAAAGTCAGTTATAGTAAGACTATATTTTTTCTATGCTAGTTTTTATCCAGCAAACTCTTTTAACGATTTGAGAAGAACAAAACATGAATATAGATTGTTATTCGTTTGAAGTCTATAAGCAAATTGTTCATTATTTATACCAAGATTAAAAGAAATTTTTTCTTAGCAATTGATTTTAATATTTCTCCTGAATTATTACTTAATTTTGAAAAAAAAATATTTCACCCATTCGATCCTTCTTATTTCAATCAAGGGTATATTTATACATAGCCAGTATGATATACAATAAAATTGTGGTTATAGTATTATTATTCTGTGTAGATAGAAACTTAATTAACTAATATTTGATTAGCGTTTGAAGTGCAAAAAGTTGCGTTTTTAGCACTTGACGTAATTATCAGCAATGAATCGAGAGTGCATAGTATTTTGAATATTTGTTGTTAATTATTGCAATTTACACTGAAGTTTTTTTAATTTGAATTTTTGATATGTTAATATTTACCAAAAAAGTGTGAGCACAGATGGAATATAGATTTTGCCCTCACTCATATCTCATTAGAAACCAAACAATCACACTTACATACAATCTACACTCATACCCAAAACACACATGGACTCCAGTGTCTTGTATTGACTCAACCGTTGATCAACGCTAAAAGAACAATATTATACCCAGACAGTGTTGAAAAGATACAGATGTTCGATGATTATTATAATTTAATCAAAATAATCTATAACTTTGCTTTCTTCTTTTGTTTACGTCATTAATACTTTGACGTGTGTATCTTTTCTAGTTTATTACTTATCTCGATTTCATTTGTATATGTTGTATTTATAAACTCAAAGTATAATATACAGTTGTTTTTATATAGATATTGGAAGATATCAGTACTTAAATATTGAATTAAACAGATATGTCTTATTCTCGAAAAAATTTTTCAGCTTTGAACTTTACAACTGCTGCCACCGATCAACTCATCGGGTTACACCTCCAATAATAATGATCACGGCTTTTCTGAATCATTAAATGATGAATATTGTAAGCATTCGTATGATTCAATATGTTGATTATCATCTTCATCATCTATTTGAATATTGATTTGTTCATTTTCTTCATCCAAAAAAACACATCTAATGATAGCATAAAATCATCATTATTCTCATCTTCGTTAATATCAGTTTCCATTGTTGAGATTTGTTGCTGTTTTTTTTTGGTTGTAGTTTATTTTTTTGATAAATTGAAGAATTCTTTTTTTAATGATATATTAAATTTGACTTTCTGAGAAGATTTTTTTTCTTGTTTAGAAATCTGATCAAGATTTGTTTGTTTTTTTTTCGAAGATTGGACCATATTTACTATCAACCTAAAAATTTTTCATATACAGTATGAATAGCAAAGAGGTTAGTATTTTCATTCGTTGATGAAAAGGAATAATCCAATATAGATCAATGCATTCAATTTGATTAAATATGAGTAACGTCTGAAGAATATATTTATTAATAAAAATAAATGAAATATGCTTTTTTTTTAACATTCAATTGAAACGAGAGTTTGCTGAGTGTCTGAATTGAAAGATAAAGTGTTGGTTAGATAAGCAACAGATCGACGAGCTGTTTGTTTATTTGTACGAGTTGCTATTCTATATTGTTGAAGAATGTCAGGCATAGATTTTTTCTTTAGCGTAGTATTAGATTCGGTAGATAAATTAGCTGGAGCACGTCTTTTGAATTGGATAAGGAAAGAACTAATCAACGTAATTAGTATCAATGAACCAACTATTATACCAACGATACCACTGATGGGAAATGATGAAAATACATGAATTTGTTTTATTGTTGTTGATAAACTTGTTGTTGTAGTTAAAAAAGTCGTTGTTTTTGTTTGTGGTGTTTGTGTAGTTTGAGTTATAAATGTTCGTAATGTTGGTACCTATGTAAATATGTCAATTATGAAGAAAACAATTAAGATTAAATACTCACTGTTCGATTTAATAAAGTTGTTGTCGATGATCGGGATGTGGTAGTTGTTGTTACTGTTGTACTTGGCTCAGATGCTGTATTAAATGGCCAAAACAATTTATCTGTTATTCCCATTGAATCTCGTAAACAAGTTGATATAGGTAAAAATACACCTGGATCAATTGAAATATAATAATTTTGTCCGGGATTAAAAACAACAGTTGATGAAATAATCAAGCGATCTGAAAGATAATTCACATTAGTTGTTTGTTTTACTACATTGTATGTAACAAAATCTTGTTGAGTCGAAGTGATTTTAAAACGAATAAGAGCCTCAGTACTTGGTCGTACAAATGTTGTTCCTGTTGGATAGATTAATGTCCAGTTTGATTGATATTTTGAAACAAGACCCGTTGGAAAATGAGTTGCATTGTTAATATAGAGAGTATTACGACTTTCTGCAGCTAATTGTACGGTAAAACGGAGACAGTTTGAATCGCCTTGATTACCAATTGAATCAACACCAGCAAAACAAAATAAATTTTGACCTACTTGATTTGCATTACCTGTATAAGAGACTTTAAAACTATAAATAGTTGTATCATATGGATCAGTAAATGGTGTTGATTGTGTAAAACCAGCTGGATAAACACCAATTACATTAGCTAATGTGGCATTGGGACATTGGATCTTGATTCGAATAAACATTGTAATATTTTGACCAGGTTCAACAAAAATACATTGATCAGCAGGTGCATCACCAATATAAATCGGCTTTAACGAACATGTTACATTTGAATCCCAAACATTAAAAATAAATTGAATAGGTACACGTGAGAGAGATGTAGTACTTGTATCATTTTCAAAATCAAGTACAGTAAATGCTACAGCATAAAAACCAACTGCAGCTGGTACAAAATGAAGAATGCAACTTGTCTCATTGAGAAATGTTGAAGCAGGTAAATTAAGTGCAGATCGACATATACCACCACATTCTTGACTTGTATTTGACCAAATACATGTATATCGATCAAAATCATTATCGGCAACATTTATTTTAATATTATAAGAAAGATAACGACGAAGTCGAATAACCGGTAACATAGTAACAATAGGTGCTTGATTATATCGTCCATTCGGTCGTATATAAGTATTAATTTCTGTTGATACAGACCATGTTCCTCCACCAGTAACCAATGAAAACCATGCTGAACTAGTAAATACTGCTCGAAATCGATAATTTGGTGGAACACGAAAAGTAAATCGTCCTTCACCACTCACATAACTTTCAATTTGATTATATCCAGTACATGGAACAGTCACTGAACTGAGTGTACTAACATTTGGTGGACAAGATGAAGGACAAACAATATTTCCTGAACCAATCATATAATTTCCAGCAGATATGTGAGTATTTGTACATGGCCACCATGTATAATTCCATGCATGACGTTGAAGTATTTCAACAACAAGTGGATTTGATGTTGAGTTTATGACACGCCATGTGATCATTGATCCACGAAAATGAGAACATGATATACGAACGATCAATACTATGAAAAAAATCAGTAATATATCGACTGATTTCATTTTAAAGAATTTTTATGACAGTCATAAAAAAATGTATATATATATACAATGCATTTTTTTTTTCTCTTATTTTTCATAACAAAACAAAAATAAACATATGAAACTATAGTAGATATTTGCTAAATTAGTTTTTTTTTAATTTAAAAAATGATTTCTACGATTTCAATTTCACTCGTCAATAAACATAATATCTTACTTGAAATTATATTTTTCAGCGAGAGAATACTCTATATATAAAACTTATGAATAAAATTTGCGATTAAATTAAAAGTAAACAATCTAATCAATTGATCTCTTTGTATAATTTTAATGAGATACGATAGAGTGTATTGACAATACACCTGAATAATAATTTAATAGAAAAAAAAAAACTATAAACTATTCAAGCCATTACCTCGAACACAAATAATATTAATCAATAATCTATTAGTTAAATGATAGATTTATATTTGATAAAAAAAAATTCTTTAATTAACAGTATTTGTCAAAATTAAAACATATATATTTACAAAATATTTTTTATCATATAGTATCATCAATTACGTATTTAATTTAACACATGTAAACAAGTTATATTAAATCTAATAACTCATGATAAAATATCTCAAATTGATATGAGGACAATTTGAAAATATTTGTTGTTTTTTTTTTATTCGTGAAAATTTTTATTTCTCTGTAAATTACGCATGGTGTTTAGTAAATTAGTTGATAAGATTTATCAAAGTTTTAGCTTTGTTTTGTCTTTGATGTCAATTACATCGATCGTTCGATCATACAGTTTCTAATATCGATTTATCAGAAAAAAAAACCATCGTAAAATAATTCGAACTCATACATATAGTATCTTCAAAAGAAGAATAATTCATGTTCTTTCTCTCATAACTTCTTAGTTTGACTATTGAATTTATTTCTCACTTTTATGTTCAATAACATCAAAAAAAAAAACAATAATCTCACATTTCGAAGAGAACTGGTATTCATCTATGTCACCTTTTTAAGTATCCTCGACGTTACGAGCATATTATTGCACTCTACTAAACCAACATTGCAGCTACTTTCCTCTGATTACATTAAGAACAAAAAAAAAACCGAACTTTTTTGTCTTGCATTTATGTAGGAAGCGAGTAGTTATTGATAAGGATGTTCTAAATGTAGTCATAACAAAAAGAAAAGGATATAGAAAGTAACAATAGATAAGATAAATCTATCAAGTACATTTGCGTTCACATATAGTTCCTAATAGTATGACTGAATCCACTAACATAAGGAAGGATTAATTCAGAGAAAAGGTTGTTGAATGTTTCTACAATTTCTCATCTTCATTGGGTTCTTAATATATATATATATATATATGTATAAATTAGATTAAATATTTATATATCAATGATGAATAAATCTATTAACGATCAAACAAGTGTTGATATTAACAATGGTACTTCAGGTAATATTAGTATAAAGCTTTGCATATGTATAAGTACGAATATTATCTATAATGTGACAGACAGCGCCGATATTTTTTTGGTTGGTATAACACATGATAAGAGACAGGAAACAACCATAAACAACTATTCTTTCTGCTTGTATTGTACAAATGTCAGTTTCAAGGACGAAAACAAGAGATGCCACTAGAGTTTTGTATTTTGTTAAAAAATAACAGAAAAGATTTCCCTTTCAAACTGTTTTATTTTATTCGGTTTTTTTTTTACATTTTTTCAAATAAGATTTGTGTAAGAAGCATTTTTATATTACTTTTTTTCTTTTTTTTTTTTACAGTAATAGGTACAGTATCGAGCGACCTTCTTCTCGATCACCTCCCACTACGATGTTCGACGCCAGCTTTCAAGAGTAGGCTACCGTCGTTTCGAACATTGCCATTATCCTCTTCGTACACGGACACTTCTATTGTACAAACATCAACAAACAGTAACAACGCATATAAATCTTTTTCTTTTCGAAAACATTCATCGTCTGAAGTAGATTTAAATAACATTGAAAATTATTCAAATTTAATGTCTTCATCAATGTTTCGTACACCTTCGTTTGCAATGTTAAAACCATCTTCATTTAATCAAAAACGAGAAAAAGAAAGATCTGAATTATCAACATTAAATGATAAATTTGCTGATTATGTTGAAGCAGTTCGATATTTTGAAGCACACAATAAAAAGATTCAGATGGATGTGAATCTTCTTAATGAAAAACAACGTGAAATTTGTCAAAAAACTAAAACAATATTTGAAACAGAAGTTACACAATTAAAACAAGTAGTTGAACAATTATTAAAAGAAAAAAATAATTCATTTGCTACTGCTCAAAATGCACAGGTTTGTATATCTTCCTAATAATAATTTTAAATTTAAAATTTTGTATTAAATTTATCATCAAAATCTTTTTTTATTTTATTTTCCTTTATTAGAATCCCATTCTTCCATTAAAACAACAATTAAATCAAACTTTTAAAGAACGTGATTCATCAAAATATGAAACTGATAAAATTGAAAGACACTTATCATCTATTGAAGGTGATATTCAAATGTATAATCGTCGTATTGCTTATCAAGATACTGAACATGAAAAATGGAAACAATTTATTAATCATATTCAACGTCTTTTATTACAAGGAAAAAATGAAATTCAAAATGAAATTTTAATGCATACATCATGTGACCAAGCAGTAAAACGATTACGTCTTGATATAAGTCGATTACATGAACAAGAACAACAAAAATTAAATGATCTTAAACAATCATCATTTATTTTAAGTTCAAATGGAACAAATGAACGTGCACTTATGTTTAAATCTGAATTAGGAAATGCTATAAGAAGAATTCGTCAAGATTTTGAAAGAGAACATGATTTACAACGTAATGAATGTTATCAAAAATTTTCACAATCATATGATGAAATAGTTCGACAATATTCAGAATTTGCAAATTTTTTATTAAATGAACGTGAACAAGAACGTATTAAACAAGAAGAAGAACATATACGTTTAGAAATTCAACATATACGAACAAATACTGATGTATTAAAACAAAAAAATTCTGAATTAAAATTACATATACGTGAATTAGAAATTAATTTTGAAATGAGTGAAAATGAAAATAAATGTATTCAACAAACACAACAAAATCAAATTGATCAATGGAAATTAAAACATGAAAAAATTACTAAAGATTATGAAGATGTTACAAATAAACAAATATCATTAGAACAAGAAATTGAAACATATAGAAATTTATTAGAAGGTACTATGAAACCAGTTATTGATAATATTACAGAAGGATATAATTTAATGACTACTAATCAAATGAAAAAAGAAAAACAAAAGAATTTATTCAATCAAAAACCTCTTTCAACAAGTGTTGATTCAATATTATCAACATCTTATCCTTTAAGTACATATGATACTAATAATTCGCATGTTTCCTTTATGACTTTGAATCTTAATAATGATCAATCAAGTCATTCATCAATACCCATTAGAGATAGTTTAACAACAACATATAAAAATAATTTTGAAAAAAGTCAAAGTGTTGAAGATATATGTGTTAAAACTAATGATAATGATCAATACGTGGTAGAAAAAAATGAACAAGCAAATGTTGAATCTTTATCAAATAATCGAATACCAATACATATTGAAACACGACGAAAGAACTAATTAATTTTTTTTAAATGACTATGCTTTTTCTAGTGCTTTATTTTATTCTTTAGATGATAAACGAAGTATATAAACCAAAGAAGGAAAAAAAACTCTAGGGAATATTTAATTAGAGAATGCATTAAAAAATACATTCGAACAACTACTTAAATTGATTGTCAATAGAAAAACTCATATAAATGTTGATTCTTTTTTATTTATTTAAAAAAGTAAATAATATTTCACCTTAATGGAAGCTCAACTATTCGGATTTTAAAATCAAGATTTTTTTTTTTCGAGTTTTGGTTTTTCATTGCTAATATAGCTTCGAAGTCTACTCTGTTAAATGCCATAAAATTGAAGGCTCTTCATTGTTAATTAAAAATTCGTGCTACGCTTATTCTTCGTATGGAAAATTCTCCTAATGATAATGATTATTTCTCATTGCAAAAGATACTGAGAGCATGGATCATTGATCTCTAACATTGCTGAACACGGTTAGTTTTCGATCAGTTTAATTGGAGAAAAAAGTCCTGATACAAACAGTAAAATTTGTTTTTCATTTTTCTCGAAATCAATTTTTTATACAAAAAAAGTACAAAACTGCCGCGATTTCTCCAATATAATATGCTCGATAGAACTGAAACTTACAGATTTTACAAAAAAAAACTCTAATAAAAAGAAATCAAAAGCATTATGCATCCCAAACAGTGTCTGATATTTATAAAAAAAAAAAAAAACTTTCAGCTCGATTCGACGTATTGTAGTTGAGAAAGTGGGGTGGTGGTTTTTAGCCTTTACGACATAGATATTTCCCAGAAAGAAGTATTTCGGAATTTGGAGTCTACAATGACTTTTGCTCTACTCATCGAGATCTGTCTACCCTGGAAGTTTCAAATATTTCTGATGAACCGTCCGTCCGAAACTTCGTAAAGCGGGATTTCCTTAACGTTTGATGCATGCACATGTTCATTGATGTTTATCTTCCATAACAACACTAAGAACCCATGTCCACATGAATGCATCGGTACGCGTGACATCACGTACGGCAGAAACGCGTGACGAACATAGACGTGACGCCACGCGTTACGGTAGCTGTACAAAGCGTGACGTCATGCGTACGAAGCTAGCACATGACGTGATGTTATGCGTACGAAGCGTACCAGCGTGATGTCACGTGTACCAATAGCGTTCCCGTGGACATGGGAATATAAATCATAAATGATATTGCAGACAAGCGACTGCAAGATGATATAACACTAGTTCCAGTAATGACTGCTACTTTTATTCCAGTATTCGTGCTTATATAGATGGTGCTACATCAGTCACAAGAAGTTCCACCATCGGGAAAACACATTCGCTGTAATCTTGAAGTGCAGGAAAGTTTCAATTGTCAGGGATGATCTCAGCATGGATCTCTTCTCCAACGATGATTGCGATCGTGAAATTTTGAAGGAAAACTTGATTAGAGTTGGGGACTCATTAAAGGTGCTTGACACTAAAAGATTAAAGTTTATGCACTTTGACGGCTGTTGTTATCTTTCTAATTCTAGATAGTGATACAAGAAGAATTTTACATTCAATCAGAGCCATTACAAGGCCATAGATAACAATTAAAGTACAGGGGATATCTCAAAAGTTCGCCATGAAAAAAAAACATGAATGTATCTTATTCAATTTCATTGATTTAGATAATTTTTTTATAATATGATAGTATGCTCCTTGAGATTCTATTTTTATACATATTTTCAGATAAATGTCTGTGCCTACAGATATTAAAATTCAGATAGTTTTATTAACAATCCAATTTGAGTCATCTTTAATTGTGAAACAAAAATTTGAAGTCAAATTTGACATATAAACATCAGACATAGATTGTACTAGGGATACTTTTCAACGCTTTTGTGTAACACTTGTACAGTATCAAATCGACGACACTCCGAAAGATCTTCAGAGATCACAGAAGAAAAAATCGAAGAAATTCGTAATGTTTGTAAAACTACGGTACTATTTAATGTTTCGAACTATAACAACAGTCTGCTCTATTCTAGAAACAAAAGCACATCCAATTATGATTGTATATCTTCTCATGAACCCATACCATGTATAATTTGTCCAACAACTTCGCGGAAAAAATTCACAAGATCATATCAAAATTATATAAATTTGATATTAATGTTGAAGAACATCAACAATAAAAAAAAATTCGTTTTCTTCCGACGAAGCTGCTTTTCATTTATATGTTTTATCGATAAGAATAAAATGGAAATCAATATGCATGCAATATATATAAAGATCTGATTGAATTCAAAAAGATAATCAATAACGACAATAAACTTTTTGCAGTATTTTTTTTAAATACTTCGAAAAGAATGAATTTTCTTATCTCAGTTAATTGTAATTCTTTTAACTATTGGTTTTAAAACACAATATATGAAATAAAAGTTTAAAAAAATATATATGATCATATTACAAGAAAAAAAATTTACAAATCATTCAAACTGATTAAGAGATATCCACTTTTCTTTTTATGGTAGACTTTTGAGACACACTATATAATTGACATGGATGACAATGAATTTACACAGAAAAATAACATCTTTAATGTCTATCAAGCACTCTAATAACTAGGTCAAGGAGTATTTTCTCGTTGTTTATGTTCTATATCAAAAGTTATTCCATGTTATCGTCTTCTTCTATATTGACATCAACATCTTGTTTGTCGACTCCTCCGTAATTCTTTGCATTCTCAATATAATTTATAGATTTCTTTGACAATGAATCATTGTTAATAAGTTGTTCCAACATCTATAAATAACCATACTTTGTTTTCTGACTATCTTACTTGATAGTGATCATATTCAACATCATTCAATATGTAAATCAATCTCTATATCTTTTATAGTTATGCCAATAAATAAAATTAATTAAATCCCTATTGACAAACGATAGCTACTATGAATAAGTAAATATTCGAATATGAGAAGTATGTCGCAGTGATATAAAAAAAAAATAAAGATAAGATAAGTGTCATGTGTGCATAAAATATATCAACACTTGCATTTGTTAACAGCTGTCTTCTTTTAAAAGAGGGTTAATTGTAGCATGTGATGTTCCCTCTATGTGACCGTGGCCTTAATACATAATAAATATTTTTCTATTGCATGCGAAAAAACAAACAATTTGAATTTGAGAGCAAAGATCTATAATAAATATTTCATATAACAATAAGAGAATGAATGAAGGTTCAATATTTGATTTTATACAATAAGACAAACAGAATATATAAATAATGTGCAACAGATATTTGTTTCCCAAGATCATAAAAAAGAAATATATTCATTATATAGTGCCAAAAAAAAAAAAGAAAGACAGAACTCCTTCATTCTTATCAATTCAAATGGCTATTACCAACTTCATCATCATTTTAGTTATAAATTCCTTTGCAAAAAAATATTCATCTCATCGAAGAGACAGCTGCAATTGGTTGAAGCAGCTGATACAACAGCAGCAATCATGGCTATTATAGTTACTAGAGTTGCTATTACTATATTTAGGATTGGTATCACTTTTGATGCTATTATAATTACAAGTATTATTGTAGCTATGGCTATGATAGATTTGACAACGGTAAAAAGTATTATTAGAATAGGCTAAAGTGCAAGTATAACTGTCAGTGTATCAACTTTGTTTTTTTATTTCCTACAATATTTTCGATTTTTATTATCGTTATTGTTAACATATTAGTGATTACGAAAAGTTAAACATATTTAATTCAAACGAAGTTTTTTATTTTACTTGATATACATTTAACTTTATATCTTTTTAATCAATATATCGAATCAATAGATATTTATCAAATTCATTCAAGAAGATATAACGATAACAAATTTTTGTATTTGATAAATATACATAAATTCATAGCCACATCCTAGGGTCAAATAATGATATATACAATCTTGTAGGCTAAATCATACTGCTCACATAACATTTCAGGTTAAATTGCGATTGAAATTTAATTAAATCATTTTAGAGTTAGTTTTTCATGACAAAAGAAAAAAGCATGAACTAATGTATTAACAATTTATTTATATTTTTTGTTGTATGTTAAGCCTACATCTTGTTGTTATTTGATATTTACTCATGTTCTATCAGACAGACAATAGGTATTATTGATATATATTATCGAATGAACTTTACGTAATGACTATAATGTTCAAATTGAATTTCGACTAAAATATTGATTGTGTATATGTTTAATGTCTGTAACATTAGTATAGAAAGAAATTCTTCCTTTTCTCTTTTGTTACCTTCTATCACTCATTAGGTCGCTTTCGCTTATTCTTTTATTTCTTTCTTCTCTCTCTCTCTCTCTCTCTCTCTTAGAAAAAGAGAGTACGAGAGTAGTAGGTGTTTTTCTTTATTCGATCGCCATCAGTTAAAGGTGTTATAGTTGACCGTGTGTGTGCATATTGTCACTCTTTTTTTCTTTTTGTATTCTATACATAAGTGACCTTGACAGCCGACAAGATTTACTGGTCACATACATTTTTATTAATTCATAATCAATGATTGACAACCAATAACACGATGCATGTCTGTTATAATTCAAAATTTCTTATCATATTCTGTCTTATATTTTAGTTTTAACTAGTCTAATAGAAAAAAACAAAAAAAAAGACATGGGCACATGTTACAGTAAACGTTCAGCTTGTTATTATTTAACTCAAAATACAACATCTGAAACACCACCGGCTACATTACGTCGTTTTAGTAATTTACATCATAGTGTAAAATCATTTTCATCCATGGCATATCAACGTCGAAGTTTTCGTACGAAACCATTGACAATTATAAAACAAAGTCCAAAAAATAAACAACATTGGTGTATTATTAAATACAATGAAACAAAAGAAGCACTTGTTTGAGGTTTTTTCCTTTTTGTTACCGGTGTGATAGGTATTATCTATAATGTATGTTATATCCACGTGTGTATGATTTGAGTTTATATTACAAGTATTATTTGTTGTACTTTTATGTTTTTGTTTTTCTGTGTACTGACATTACAAATCGTTAATGATAGAAAAGTAATAACAATAAGAAAAAGAAGGTTAAATGTGTATAAAGGATTGCATATTGTTTGTTGTTTTGTCGAGAAAAATAATGAAGGACGGTATCCTGAGAAAATAATAAGGATTAAGTAATAGAACATCTCTCCTTTTATAATATTAGGAGATCAGTCATATTCAATTAAAAACCCTTTGACAATGAACACCATTAAAGAAGAATAAATATATTCCTTCTTTTTTTTTTTTAATATCAGGAATGTCAATGAAGACATTTATCAATGTAAAACAAATTTTTAAACTCGAACAATTTTTGCATTAGTAAATGTATCTCGTAATGATATAAGATTATGAGCTAATAATGAACCATATACATTTTCATACCATTGTGTTGATCGACCACTGAAAAATAATCGAAAAATAAGTTGTTTCTTTTTTGTCAAATATAAAGTAAGAAAAAAAAAAAACTTAACAAACCTGTAATCTACACAAGCAACTTGAGTAACTGTCGTATTACCAGGTTGTGTTGTTGATGGTTTTAAATAATAATGCATATTATAAGTAACACCAATACTACCCGGTAGAAAATGATTTTGTAAATGATCAATTGATATAGCACTAATAAGTATTGCATTTGCATCAGGTGCCGAACGTAATGTAACTTTTTTGGAAAAACTATTCAAAAAAAAAAAATAATTTTGTTTTATTAAGAGTTGAACGAAAAAAAAAATATTCTATTACCGAAATTCACAAAATGATCGAACAGGAATAAAATCAAGTAAATTTATAACATATTGCACTATTTCTTTATCATCATCAATTTTTTCTACTATTCGACTTTCAGCAAAATGATTATTCCATAAACAATTTTCATTTAATATTCTTTGATAAACTTGTTTGACATTTGTATTTGGTATATCAATTGAACATTTCCATATTGGTAAATTATTTTCATTTGTATTCAATGTTGATGTTATAGATGGTTTATGTATAGATATATTAACACCATCAATATTTGTTTGAACATTTTTAAATTTTATATTTGACAAACGCTATCAATAAAAAAAAAAAATTATTGTTTGAATAAATACAATTATTTTTTTTTTACTTGAAAAAATTCTTCACAATTTTTTGAAATATATTTCTTCATATGAAATTCACCATTACATGCATTACGAACTAGTTCATCAAGTCGTTGTGTCTTTCTTACTGATGGCAATTTGAGTTCATCAGTGAGTGTACTTGGAATCTATTAGATACATAAAGTTTACAATTAAAAAAAAGTAAAAAAAAAAAAAACAAAATTATTGATTTTCATACTCGACAAAGCAAATCAACATTAAGTATCATTGTCATAAGACAATGTTCTAATAATAATCGTTCATTTTCTTGTTGTATAGTATCCTGTTTTTCTTTTTTCCATTTCCACCAAAGAATTTTTGATGATGTATGATGTATGTCATAAAAAGATTGAAAGACAGATGGAAGAAAAATACGTGCCAAATTTCGACATGTTATCTTCATAATAATAAAGACAAAATGATATATTGAGTATTTGTTTTTGTGCCTTACTTGATTATTTCCTGATCGTATTGAAACATCAAGTAAAAATCGAAGTATTGTTTCAAGTACTTCACGACTTTCATCAGGTAATATTAAAAATGTATAACGTATTGCTAATAATTGTTCTTCTTGTGCTACACCTACAAATAAATAATTCTTGGATTTTTATTTTCCCATAAAAAAAAAAAAAAGTTTTATTACATTTAAATAAATCACATAATAAACGTGTTATTGATGGTGGTATAATACATTCAGGTAATTCACGAAAATATTGTCGAATAACATCAGCAACAACAAATGGTTGATATTCATCAAATTTAATTGTTTCGAGAAGTTTTTCATCATTATAATTAGTTGTTACTTCAATTTGTGTACGTAAATGATCAATTTTAGATTTAACACCCGGCTTACGAAATAAACCATCACATTTATTAGCATGTGTACGTATATATTGTAATGCATTTATTATTGCTATTGGTAGAATATGTCCTGTTGTTTGTTGATATATACGTAATGGAACACCAAATACACGTTTACCTTTCCATGTTGTAGATTTTGGAAGTTTATGTAATTTTACAAGAGTTCTAATGAAATAAGTACGATAATAAATAAGCTATAGTAGTAGAAAAAATTCTCTAATAAATCTCAGCTAGTATAGGTGCTGAAAATTTGTGTATACATAATTCACCAAGAATATAGATCAGAGCTATCATCTTACCCCAACTGTTGAAACATAACGAGAATTATGATGGATGATAATGAATAGCACTGATTTGTCCTGTGAACTTTATACTTCTGAAAAGAAAAGGTCTTATGAACTAATCGATTCTTCATTATTTATGATCATGTTTCATCTTCACATGCTATTAATTTCATTGAACCATTGCTAGAATGATGGTCATTTCACTGTGACTATGCAAAACTTTTTGATGCTATTTGTAAATCGTAACTTACTAATATTTCAGTAAATCGAGCTCAAACTTTTTTTTGGGAAAACTTTGTCTGTAATTGCAAATTATTGCCTAGAAGTTTCAGAAAAGAATCTTCTTCTAAAGAGAAACAGGCATGCCAATAATCATCGTATTAGTGCCGAAAGCTTAAAGACATTCGGAGATAACAATATTGCAGAAAATTCCATGATCTTTTTCAATGATGAAAGACTACATAGTAGATTTCAGTTGCAAATAAAAATATCCAAAAATTAGTCATGTATTTGGTAAAAACAAACACAAAATTTAATAGATAATTTTTTCAGATTAAAAATAGACGTCGTCCATCGTAATTCTTGTTACATTTAAGCTATTGGAACGACCTCATATTTCTGATCTACTTTCTTGGTGAAGCTATGTGCACATAAATTTCCAGATCTTCTGCATGTATGGAAGCTAAGGAGTGGGAAGGAGTTTTTTATCTATTACTGTAAATAGATTTTCACATATTTACATTGTTTCATAATTATGTACATTATCTGAATTACAATTATCTTGAGTCATTTTTATTAATTTTGATAAAGCTTTAAGACAAAAAAAAAAATAATGTTCAAATTAAAAAAAAAAATTATTTTTATTTACCTGATTCTCGTAAACGATTAATATCATTTGATAAAAGTAGATGAATATTTATTTCATTATTATTATCAGTACGCATTGTGATTATTTCGATTAAATTTTTCTGTTCAATTTCTTCTCTAAAATATAATAGAGAAAAAAAATTTCTATTTAGTGATTGAATATATCAAACTTGATTGAAATTAATTGAAAAAGAAAAAAGAGTCATGTACACATTGAAATATTGACCTTGTTTGTTCATACAAAAAGAAGAAAAAAAAAAAAAGAAGCCTACTGATTCATGTCTATTGAAGGTCATCGTATGAAAAGAGTAGACGAAAGAAGAAAAAATTTCTCGAATCATTTTGAAATTTTCAAAAATTCAATTAATCGAAATAGAATAACAAAAAACAAGTTTCTATCTACTATAGTTATATTCTTACTGATACAAGAATATTAATCCTCATGAGTATAAAAAAAGAAGAAAGAAAAAAAAAAAAAAAGAAAATTTGTTGTATCATTCTACATCGACTGACGACAGATCTTTATGACGCAACTATTCTGCACACATGCCCAATCGACTAAAAGACACCATCAGTACCCTAGGAGGGAGAGAGAGAGAGAGAGAGACAGACATAGGTTATTATGTATATATGTGCGCGTGCTTGCCTAACTTTTTATCAGACTGTATCGACTTACGTCGTTGTCTATGGCACATTACCTTCGAATTCGTCGTTGTTGACTTGTACAATAGTAATAACAAAGAAAAAAAAGATTATGATGATTGGTATGCAAATAGAAATGTATGCTTTATAGTTATAGAACATTTTTAATCAGAACGTCCAGTGAATGTATATTATGTATCTTGTGGTAATTGTTCTTTTTTTTTTTTTGCAGCATCATTGAATATGAGTAATAGGAAGAAATAACGTATATTAAGAGTATTGCTAATTTCTTCTTTTTCCCCACTTGCATTTTTCTATGATAAACAATTCTGTTACTGATGACTAATAGAAGAAAATATTTTTGGGAAAATTTATCAAAAAGATAAACTAGCATGACATACTCAACTATCTATTTCGAAGAAACTGTATAGCTAGCTATTGAGAGATACTTAACAAACAAATTTATTTGTATGTGTCTATAGAATTAATGTAATTGAAGATCATGTCAATAATGTATTGAATGTATTGGCGATCAGTGAAGTATTTCAATAAGTAGTAAAAAGAAAGCGAAGGCGAAGAAGAAAAAAAAGGGAGGAAGGAGGGGGGTAGAGACAGTGAATTATAGAAGTAACAACCTTCGTCTGAAGTAGTATTCTTCTCTTTTACTTAGTGTATTTTGCTGCAGGTGATTCGTGCTTACATTTACCTCTTGATACTACAACACTCATCGATTGTATCGTTGATGACAACTGATGCTCGAGATAAACGACTGCTGCTAGTCTATGAGCAATATTGTACTTTCCTTTTATTTATTATAAATGAGAGACAAATATTGATTTAACAGCTTCATACATACATACATACATACACTGTTTAAATAGAATCATTTTGTTAATATTTCTTTCTTTCTCTTTTTTTTTGATATACGAGCGATCTACTATATTGGATAATAATATCATTTCACTTTACCAAAATAGTTAAATGATGATTGTGAATGCAAATGATTTACAACATAGTTAGTTTCATCTTGATCAGATATTTGACAATAATCATATCTCAATCGCTCAACACATATATCGAATCATATTTATGTTAGTCATAGATAAGAAAAGATAGATTGATAAAGCAAAAAAAAAGAAGGAGAGAGAGAGAAACATACTGATCATTGGTTTGTGGGTTAACATCAAGGATAGTATCATCAGTTGGATTGATATTTGTTTCTTGAATAAGATTTTCATTAGATAATGAATGATTAGTTGTTTGTTGTTGTTGTTGTTGTTGTTGTTGTTGTAAATTTTCACCTTCCATTTCAAGACGTGATAAAATAAGATCAATATCATTATTAAAACGTATTAATTCACGTAATATATTATCTTCATCAGTATATAAATTACATCTTGAACTATCATTAAAATGATGATATTTTCTTCGTGATGATTTTTTAAAACTATCATTAGATTGAAATCGATGAAGAACTGAACATGATGTTGCATTTGATCGACCTAATAATGAATTTGATGATTTTGATAGAAATGATAATGTTTGATTGGCATTTCTATTAACAATATTATTGTAATATTCATCGAGAACTTGAGCTTTATCAAGAAGTTTTCGAAGTAAACTTTGAGTTGAATATGTTGAAAGATTTGTTGTTGCGAATGAAAAATTATTTGAAACAATACTTATTGGTGTTGTACATTGATTAATACATATTTGTTCATTATTTTCTTCATTTATTGATGATGCTACTTCAATATCCGTAAATGAATATGAATCAATACTATTATTTAAATTACGCATAGTATCAAATTGATTAAGATATGGTATCGATTGAGAATTACGTAGTGGACGATGAGAATATTTCATGAATAAATCCCTATGAAATTCAGATGATGATGGTAGAGTAATATTTGATTGTTGTTTTTCATTATCATTTGATAATTTCTCGGTTTCAATTACAAGACAACCATTAGCAGCTGTTGATTCGAATGATACTGTTTCTTGGTATTGTTTACGAGCCGAACGTTTTCGCTTTTTGGCTATAGATAAAACAGAGAAAATTCATTAGTTTTTTTTTTATCTAAATTAAAATATGACGTCTAAAATCTCTAATTTTATACAGATAGAATTGTCATAAAATTTTCAAATGATTGATACAATTTAATATCTCGTATATAAATGTAATCAAAAAATATTCCTTTTTTCATTGAATTTAGAGGAAAAAGAAAAGAAAACGTATGTCATCTATTCAAACCTTTAAAAAATTGTATTCGTTTGAAAAAACATTGTTGTTCATTTAAATTTGTATCTTCTACTGTTCTTAGTAATGATTGAGAATTTTTATATGTTCGAGAACAACCACAACAAGATAATAGTAAAGATTTTTCTCTATAATTATCATGAACTATTATTGATGATGATGATGATGAATGAATCGAATCTTTATCTATTAGATTTGATGTCATTGTAAAATAAAACTGATTTATTTATATACAAGTCTAATGTAATTGTGATTTGTTATTCAAACTGATGGTTAGTTATATTCCACAACATAAATATCTGAAAACAGACAATAAAAAAAAAAAAGAAAGAATAAATGTTAAGAGAACCATTAGTAAAGATTTTGTCATATACCAACCGACTGTTCTGTAAATATATAAATATAAAATATTATTTAGAAAAACGATAATAAATAAGAACGTCAAAAATCTCCTATAATTTTTCGTTTTATTAGCTGCCAACCGATCAATTTGTTACTTTTTATCGTTTGATATTTAGTAGAGAGGGAGAGAGAGAGAGAGCCAGACAGAAAGAGAAAGTGCATAAGAGAAAAGTGCGAGAGTCTCTTTCTCTCTAAAAAAAAAAATGCCATAAAAATAGTGACTATAATAGATCTGTTGTGTCACATACCATTATAGTTAATAAAGTAATAGAAAAATGTGTATATCTTTTCATTTTTTTTTTATTTTATCTTTAAATGTATGCACTACTTAAACTTAGTGCACGTCTACTTTTTCTTTTTGCTTCATAGTAAAAGGAATATAAAAAAAAGTATAAGTGGCATGAAACGATAATTAAAAGTTAATTTTTTTACTATTACCTAGTTGAAGACGTTATTCTTTTGAACTTCTATGACTTCAAGACAAAGAAAAATTTCTTATTATTTGAGTAAATACTAAAAGAAATTGTAAGATTTCATTTTTTGGGCATCACACAAATACAATCACTTCTCTTCATAATGAACGTGTCATATGTCTATACGCATCTTTATCAAACAACAACAAGTACAATCATATTTGTGTATGTGTGCATATAGTTTGTATCGAGTAACGCAAGAGTCATTGTCATCATTCTCAGTCTATACAAGTCTCTTATTACCATGCTTATCGATAGAGTTATTCGTCTAGTCTTATAACTGACTTGAAAATGTCACAGCTGTCACATATATTTATACATACCTTAAGTTGACAAACTAAAAAAAAAAGCTGGAGGAATGAATGTTTTTCTCACGCTCTCGAATTTTTTCAAGATAACGAGTAATTATCTTTGCTTGTTTTTTTTTTTCTCTCTCATATAAGATTATCGTAAATAAAAACAATCAAAGATAATATATTGATATCAATGTTTCTATAAATACCAATACGCATATGATTATTTGATGTCAAATGCCGTAACTTTAAAAGATAACATATACATCACAGTAGAACTGTAATCAAATCACTTAGTTTTGATAACAATAATGTTCGTTAATCTCATTTATACTTATCATAATAATAATTGAATATTGGAAATAAGCATAGTTCTCAATATTATTATCGATATGTTATGTATCAGACAGTAATACGATCATTTATATGCATATCAAGATTAAAAAAAAAAAAGAATGAACGCACCTATAAACTTTAAAACATGCATATTATACAATCAATAATATCTACTCATCATCAACTATAAGTGAGTCAAAGAAAAATAAGTTCCTTCAAGCTTATACGTATTCAATAGACTTTTGTTGTTATATGCTAATAATCATGTTCATGTTTAATCCATTGAAGTAATACGAATATCTTGAATAAACATACATATGCAATGTTTCTTATTCTTTCTATGAATTAATAGTTTATCATATGTAAAATATAGTCGTATTAGACGAGGCAAAAAAAAAGACGATTAAGTCAGATGTTTTTTTTTCTTATTTTATTATTTTGCAATAGTAATTCTTGTTTATCAATAAGGCAAAAATTGAGAGAACATTGAAATGCTATTATCTTTTACACTTACCATCTTTAGAAATTATTCAATCATCTCTATGCATGTCCATTAAATATAAGCTATGAGGTTTATATCGATATAAAGAAAAGATATATTCTGTGTATTGAAGTTAATATTTATTCTTTGAAAAAACAAAATTGACGAGACAATAATGAAGTATTGAAATTTGCTCTTTCATTATTGAGCAAATGTAAGAAAATTGATCGATGATTACCAATGTTGACAGGGGACCGAATGACAGCCGTGCACAGACGATTCATCATCTGCGCAAGAGAACGAGGAAATAGATAGAATAAAGTGTCATGAAATAACGACGCATACATATATATATATATCTATATATAGATATCATTTTGTACTTTTGTCATCTCAAACTCTATGATCGGAAATGACATTGATGCCTTTGTTCTATATATACAAAACGGAAACGAATGAAATGATCTATTCTCTGATTCTTTCCTTTTTCTTTTTGACTTACCGTTTGAGTCTCCCATAACTTCCGTAGATGCTTGAAGAATGACATTGATACATTTACATAAAGAACCGGAAGGTGTATGTGCATGTATATACGATTCTTTTTCTTTTCTATGCATTGGATATGTTCATCAAATAGTAATTACGACAAGAAAAAAAAAATGACGATGAGGATAAGAAGGAGGAGGCGGAGATAAAACAGATCTTCGTCATTCATCAAATGTAAATAGAATTTATATTCTCTTATTTGTCTTCATCAGACAGTCCTTCTATTGAAGCTAAGCAGAAGTGACAATAACCTTCTTAAACTCAAGTATCAATTGACCATTCAACAATTTATATATATATATATATATACATATGCATAAAGATTAAAAAGAACTTATGTATTTTTATCTTTTTCATTTTCTTTTGTTTTTTTTTATTCTTTCATTAGATAATAACAAAACAAAACAAAATTAATCTAGTTGTTGTTGTTATTATTGTTTAATTTTGTTTGTTAATCAAGTTTAGAATATCTCGGAAAAATAATATTTTGTTTAAAAGAAAAATCCGAGAACTTTGCCACCTGTATGTTTTCGTCGAGCTTCTTCATGATCTAATATACCATGTGATGTGGTTAATACGACATATCTATAAATAAAAAATAAACTAAGTAATAAAAAAAGAAAAAATCATTCAATGATTATACCCGAATTGACGTGATGGTAAAAGATTTTTTGTCCAATTTTCAATATCACGAATAGGACAATCAAAACGAGGACTTATAACGCCACACTAGAATAAATAAAAATAGTAAAAAAAGAATCAAAATGAATTTCTTTTTTTTTTAATTCATACTTTATTTAAACGACCATTTAAATTAACAACTATTTTACCACTACGATGATCATCGATTATTTCGAATTCACCAATATAACCTTTGAAAAAATATAAAATTTTTTATTCAAAGAAAAAACAACAACATTGTTTGAAGAAATTTTTTTCTTTTACCATGTTTCATCATCACAGTAAGAAATTTAACTATAACTTTCGAACATGGTCGAATTATAACTTGACGTTTATGACGTTTTTCAGCATTATTTATTGATTTAAGAGCATCAGCAAGGACATTCATATGAACCATGTTGAGTGTTTTATTTGTGTATGTATGTTACTTACACGTAAATCTGAAAAAAAAAGACGAGAAGTAATAGCATTAAAAAAAAAAGTATTCCATAACAAAAGTGTATTGTTTTTTATCCTAAAGATTATGCAAAAAAAAAAAAACAAATTATCCACTAGTAACAGCTTGTTGAGTCTTTCGTGCGTATTGACGAAGTGCTTCACCGAGTAAATCCGGTATTCGAGCTTCATTTTCAATAAATGCCTAAAAAACCAAAGAAAAATAAAATAAAAATAATTTTTTGTTTGTTTTTTAAATACTTGAATAAGATCATGAGGATTTGTATCGTTAAAGTTATATTCAGCTACTTTAGAATTTGGATGTACAATTGCATAGAGTTGAAGAAGTGAAACAGCATCGTTCATTCTAAAAGAAAAATAGATTTATTAAACTTTCGATATGTTTGTTTTGATAGAAAACATGGAATTAAGCGTAAGTCGATTCTTTTTATTAATCAATGACTATCAATATTGAAGGCTAGATAAGCATAGGAAAGGAGTATATATTGAACAAGCAAAAATCTTTTAGTGTCTGTCATAGAAGTTATGAGGTTCATTATTTACGTGGAAGATATTTTATAAGGATTTCTATGTTGTTTGATTATAGACTAATATAAAACGAATTATTTACGATTAATCTTTCAAACTATCCGTCTGCTGTACATGAAAATTCCAACAATTGAACGACAAGAACTTAATATAAAATCTAATTTCTGTTCAAAGATACAGTTTGATAACGAGGGAAGTCTCTCCAACTGATAAATCGCTTTTGAGTCGAGGTTAGGAGCATTATGTAGAAACAAATATATGAAATTACTCTCGATATAGAAGCTCCAGCGCTTCTATTGTATCCCCACAATTTTAACTTTTCGCACAAAGCTTCATAGATGGTATTAAATTAGTTTTTGTCAGGCGTCGTCTGCGTACAAAAAAGAAATTTTCTTCAGACATCAAATATTCATGAATAAGAAGAATCTCTAGAACTTATTTTCATTTTTTTGTCGACACCTGAGATCATGGTTACTATATACTCTATAAGTACCACTTCGTCGGAGAACAGGTATATGAACATCATTGCAGATTAACAACTTTTGCTTGTCATATCATGATATCGTATGTGTGTGCATGAGTCTTCTTTTCGATAGTGCCCACACCTAAGGTTCTCGATTAGAGAGAACTTCCCCAAGATATCCGACTTTCTGCCAATTTGTTGTAACTTCTTGGTAACTTTGAACAGAAACCGGACTTTGAAGTATCGATTGCCTTTTAAAATTTGCATAGAGATAGTCCATCACGAGGATATTTCCTTGTGAATGTTTTAAATCTTATCACTGTTCCTATCTTAAGATACAGTTAAGGTAAAAACGTGTCTTTTACATCCCTCATATATAATGGTAGATTCGGTATTCTTGTTTCAGAATAGAAATAAATCCAGAGACCTGAAACTTTTATAATAAACTATTCTCATTAAGATCTAGCTCTGTAAGAAATTTCAAGTCAAAATTCGAAAATCAGTTTTCCTAGTATTCCTGAGAAGATCACGACATTCAACAACTACTGTATGTATACAACAATAAGCTAAGAAATCGAACTCTTTCCAGGATATTCAAAACTCATTTGGATCTGCATGATAAATAAAATTCCGACACACAAGTGATTAATCTGTTGAAGAACTTTCTTCGTGAGTCCTATTTTCTTTCTTGTGATATATAAAATGACAGAGCATCTTATCTGACAAAGTTTAATATTATAACGAGATTTTTGATCAATAAAACATTCAGGATATCTAAGATTCTTTAAAATAACTTACAAATCTCGTCTAATCATATCGTTCATAAATCGATCAATTTTTTTAAACCATACAAAATAAAAAGCCATTGGACCAAAATGTCTTGTTGATCGAAGTACATCATAAGAATTTGTTTGATCAATATGTTCATATATTCTATGTGTAACCTAAGAAAAATTGTTGTTCTTTTTAATTAAGAATTAATAAATAAACTATACTAAATAACTTACACGTATATAATCTCGATCATCAGGTTCAAATTGAGTACATGCTCGATCGAGTATAAATTCATAATCTCCTCGTTCTAAAATTTTCTAAATAAATTAAACAAGATATCCTAAGAAAATTTGTACATCATTTTTATTTTTTTTTTTTTTTGTATTACTTCTAAATGTTCATCTTCAAACATTTTTGGCATAATTAATTCTCTTCCAACTATAGGAAAATAAATTTGTCTCATTCGTCGTTTTTCATCTAATGTTGCTGTTCGTAATGTTCCATCAACATCTCGAGCAACAATAAGACGATCCTAATATTTCAATAAAAGAGCAAAAAAAAAAATGTTTTTTTTTTTTTTTTTTGTTTCTCGATTATTTAAATAAATATACTCGTATTGGTATTCCAAGTGATATATCTATAAATAAATGTTTACTTGTTGAAAAACCACTTAACATTTCATCTTTTTCAAGAATTTCAATATTTTCATTAGCTTCAGATAAAACAGGTGGCATTTGAAGTTTAGCTCGACCACGTTCTATTGTTTTTTCTTGTTCCTATGTAAAAGTATAAATTGAAAAAAAAAAAAAAAACAAAAATGAAATAAATGTCTAATATACATACGTACTTCTTTGAGTTGTTTATCAGTTAAATATTTATAAACAATACGATCAAGATTTTTATTATTACGTACACGAAATATTCGTGATAAATCAAAACCAGTTATATTTATTAATAGATCTTGAACATCTCGACGAATAAATATTTTGCCTGGATCAATTTCAGATTTATCTAAAATAATAATTTTTCTTTAAAAAAATAGAATTTTAATTGTAAAGATTTTCATATATACTTTTGTTAGTACTATTATATTGAATTCGATTGATTAAACATCGCACACATGTGCTTGGACGAATTAATGAACGAAACATTAGATTATCGTAGATTGTACATAATTATTGTTGAATAAAATTAAATCTGAAGAAAAAATTCAAAGATTACGATTCCAATATTGCACAAAATACAAATAAGAGAAAAAAAACATTAAGTAAAATTGAAATACAAAAACAAAAGCAATAAATTATTAAAATTCTTTCTTTTTTTTTTCCTAGAACTACTATTCGATTTTTTCATGTTATTCATTCATTGTATCTGACATTGATTGTTCTACCTGACTATTTGAATTCTGACTAGTGCTTAATATATCATGGCTAATAGGTATAATACTAGAATCTGTTTCACCTATTGTATCAAATTCATTGATACGTATACGATCTACTGGATAAATATAACGTTGACCAAGATATATAAAAAATTTCGAAAAATTTTTTTTGTTTTAGCATCACGAAAACATTTAAGTCGCTACATTGTTGGCATTTTAATAACAAAAGCAAATAAATCATCAATAAATATATTTCATGCTTTATATGTTATCATACATCATGATAAATGTGATACAGATTTAAGTTCATAATTAATAAACAATTGTGGTGCCATCATAATAAAATCTACGAGCAAAACAAAAATAAAATTTTCAATAAAAACAAAAAACACCAAATAGGATTCTATATTTACCAAATGTTAATAAAAATCCATAAATTGTACTTAAACAAAATGAATACTAACGTCTTTGTTCATGATACATTAATAACATGCATAACCAATAACTAATGGAAATAAAAATCCATAATAAATATTTAAAAGCCATCTAAATCAAAAGAAAAATAAGAATGTTTTTTTGTTTTCATTTCAAAATTATTTTTTATACTAACTCGATCATAATCTGATGTTGTTTGTTGTATTTTTATATGATTGTTTATAAACATATTTATATTTTGGTATAATACCAAACTATCTTTCATTTGGTACATTCTAAATAATACGAAAAAAAAAAACAGCAATGAAAAAGAAAGTTATTAGAAAATATACTTCAAAATTAACAACAAGAAAAAATACAAAGTCACTTTAAGATCAAGCACAGCTTTATTTTTCTATAACAAATTTTGTGTTTCGATTTCCTTAAAATTAATATGTAAGTTAGATTAGTATACCCTTCAATTGTTACGTCCCGTCTGAGATAATGTTAATCTATTGTTGGAAAACTATCGACGTAATTTCAGAAGGTAGCTCGTCTCAGTCACTATCTGTTCTTCTAAAAATTATCGAGAATCCGGTGCCAGTAACTACATATAGTACGATTTTTAATTTTTCTTTTTTTAAGTACGTTGTTCGATAACTTTATTTAAGAAATTCAATTTGAACAAAGATTATCTGTTCATGTATACATTTTGTCAATAATGAACTGTCGTTCATATATTAATCTTAAACATGATGGCATTCCACAGATACAAACACAAATAAATCCATAGTATAGATGATTGAGAAAAAAAAATTTGAGATATCTTTCTCTTGTGTTATGCTATGATCTCAAACGTCCTAAATTTAATTAAAATTAAGATTCACTTAAATAAAAAACAAAAATCTACTTTCTCAAATTATTAAAATGGGAAAAAACTAAAAGTCAACAATTAACTAGCTTTCCATCATGCATTTAATCATGATTATATTGAACTCTAAACAATCTTCTATTGAAATTCTGTTGATTTACATTTATTTAATGGTGGTGGAATATACTGCCTTTCATTTATAATGATTGATCATCGAGTAAATCAATTGTAATATTCGAATGCCAATGTGATAAAGGTTCGACGACATTATCATCAGCTTTCTAAATAAAAATGTTTTTTTTTTTGATAAAATATGAATCATTTAATATTATTTATATTAACCTTTTGATATTCTTCATTTTGTTTCGTATTACCCGTTAAAAGATTTTGAGTGTTTTTTTATAATTTTTTTTCTTAATATTTATTTAAACGTTTACTTTTCCAGAACCATTATTTTTTATATTCTAAAGAAAATTAAAACTTATAGAAAAAAAAAAAGAAGAACAAAAGTATTGTATTATTTTATAAATCATACTTCTGAAATAGGAAATTCAATAAATTTCATATATGTTCCTTCTGATGTCTAATCTCCATATTTTGAAATAATTCAATATCCAAATAGGTTTTTTTCATTGGATCATATTTATAAACTTGTTCTTCACTAATAAATATTCTAAAGCAAAAGTAAATCTTCAAATTTCAAAAAAGCAATAGAAATATTCTTACGAGTGAATCACTAGTTGTATAAAGATTTTCACGCATAGAAACAGTATTAGAAATTGATGGATTATTAATTGATAATCTTCTATTTACTATTGAATGAACTGTTGTTGGTCGACGAAAAAATAATGTAATGAAATAAATCATTAATATTCTAAATAGAACAGATGATTGACGTTCTCGAATACGAGGATTAAGATTATTTGATATTGTTCTTTGTTGAAAAATTAAATTTTCTTGTTGTTGTAAATTCTACAAAAAGAAAAATAATTGAATTAGAAAATGGCAAAAAGAATTAAAATAAACATACAGAATTTTCATCGATTTCGGATTGATTTTGATTTGTATTCGACATATTTTAATATATTATTTTTTATTTTCTTAAGCATTAGACATATATGTCAGCCATTCTATGATACGATTTGATATAGTCGGTTTTTCGACCTCCAAATATCAGTTTTAAAAAAATGAAATTTTTTATTTGAAAATTAGTTGTTGAAATTAAAAATTAATTTTTTAGTATTTTGAAATTGTCTTTTTAATAGTTTGACATTTACTATTGATTGTAGCGCTGTTTCTATTAATTGGCTTTTTGAATGACATATAATATTTGAGTCTTGTTTTCATTAGAAAAATAATGCAGAATTAAATCTAAATAAAATCGACTTTAGTCTTCACCTATTATTATAATTCATCAATTAGAACTTGCCACTAAAATGTCTAATTGTAACATATTTTACAAAACGAATTGTTACTTCTGTCTTAGCTCAATAATAAATCAATCATTGTCGAAATTTCTTATCAAAAGATTGATTGTTCTAATCATATACTTTGTCAAAAAAAAAATCATTAAACACTATTTTCTTTATTTCTGTCTTTCAGTCTGTTTTGTTGATGTATTTTGTGTCCTAGGGACAATAGGTCTCTCGATGTTTATAAAATAACTTTATCATAATCTGTCGCTGAAACGAAATTTTTTTTCAACCGGAGATAAATTCTTGAAAAAATTTCCCCTACTTTGAAAATAAAGGAAAGACCGGATTCTCTTTTTCACTTTCACATTTGAAGAACATCGAAAGCGATTTTGATTTACTTAACCAACACAAAAAGGTAATAGGAAAATTTAATCTTTATTAATCAGAAATTAAAAGAAGTTGTTTCGATTCTATCTATTAAGAAATAAAGCACAAAAGTTGTGCACGAAATTTATGCTCTTATCGCTACAATAGAATTATTTCTTTATTCAAATTTTCTAAATTAAAAAAATTTTGTTACACAATAATTCTTCTCAACACATGTTGGTGCATATCAGTAGATTCTGTACGTTTGATCAAGCCACATTTATTATTTCAATTAATAGATGAAATTCTTTTCCAATTGATATGTTAAATTTGCTAGTGAACACAAGATCTTAGACGATAAAAATAAATACTAACTAGTGCCTACCAAAATTATTTAACAAGATTTGTTTTTTTATTTTTTTCTGCTGCTGTAAACGTTCGAAAGAATCCAAACAGTGATTTGAATAGAGAAAATGGTTTCCAACAAGAAAGAGATTCCAAAAAATCAAGATCCTCATTTTTCAGTACCTACAACTTGTAAATATAGTTTTGTTTAGACTACACAGAACGATAGCGTAAACCATCCTCTATACAAAACGAGACGTCGTCGAGTTCTCTGCGACATTTCTTGAATGAGATACAGCAATTTTATTGAAGATCAAACAGTGATTTTTTTGTATAGGAAATTGGTAAAGAACGTCGCAGACGTCTCATTTTGTAGAGAACTGTTTTCTCTATCGTTCTATGTAGTCTAAACAAAACTATATTTAGCTGTTTTAGATGTTGAAAAACTAGGCTCTTGATTTTCTAGAATCTCTTTCTTGTTGGAAATCATTTTCTCTATTCGAATCGCTATTTGGAAAATGAAAATAAACCTTGTTGAGTAATTTTGGTACTCATTATATAATCAAAATAAATTTCAGGATTGCAGACGTTTTTGTTTCCTCTCTGTTTTACCTTGGAATTAAATATAAACAAAGAGCTAATGTTAATTTTAATGTCTTTGCATGTTTATGTGAGTTAAATTTAACAACATTATTAGTCAAATTTGGAATATATAACTGCTTGAAAACTTCATATTAATGATATATATGAAAAGCTGAACATTAGATGACAGTCTAACTGCAAATAAAAATCGATACTGAGAAAATTTTCGCTCTAAAATTGAAGCCCATTTTGTTTGATTTAAGTTTGAAACATTCAATTCATTGTGTCGATATCGAAAACTTTCGAACTATAAGAATGTTTTCTTTTTCTCAAGTTGTTGAATCTTTCCAAAGTACGGTAAGAGTATAAACAATACAAATGATTTTTTGAATGGTCATCAGTTTTCTTTAGATTTTATTTTTAATGCTAACAAATTCAATGGCACAATCAAATATATCTAAATTTACTATTCCATTTTCAAATAATAGCGCTTTGTAATTCTGTAATAAAAGATATGAATGTATAAACCAAAAAAACAAATTATTTAATTGTTAATAGAATGTAATTATATGTTGAAGTTTACTTAATAATAGAGATCTGTTTAGATTATGTTACTCTATATGTAAACAATATTTATTTTGTGTTCTATATAATAACAACGATGTCGCATAATACTCTAGAATGAATTCTCGTACTAGATTTGTGTAATATTTCCACAACGTAGTCAATCGCGATAGTATATAAGAATGTATTTGTATGTAAAATATTTTTGATTTAGTGACAAATTTTATCTTCATTATTCATCAGTAATTCGTAGCACAATTAAACGTATAGAATCAATAGATAGCAATATTAAATATTGTTGATGTATGAAGAATTAAAAATAGGTGGAGTGTAACGAAATGAAAAAAGTTCGCGGCAACATGTTTCATACATCATTATAATTAAAAAAAAAAAGATATATGAAGATACAGAAAACTTTTCAAAAAAATAGACGAAATATCGTTTACGATTAAAATATCTACACAAATACCATTGATATAGTTTGAAAGTCTACTATTGATGATAATACATCATTTTTTATTTCTATCATTGTTTTTTTTATCAATTCTGTCTAATTGATACACAAAATGAAAACAAGCTCATCTTTAGTATTTATTTTATTTTTCAATTATTTAATCAAAAAAAAAAACAATTTTATCTGTACAAACGAACATTCAAACATTTAATGAATTTAAAATAAAATGTAGCCCTAAAGAGGGCTGTTGGGTTTAATTGATAGTTCTTATAATTTATTGACTTGATGCTGCATTAGCAATAGCTTTTTTTATTTTTTTAGCTGTACCAGCTGATGAAACTGGCATTGAATCAGTAGTCATAGCTGATTTTTTTGGTAATAATAATGAATTAATATTTGGTAAAACACCACCTTGAGCAATTGTTACATGATTTAAAAGACGATTAAGTTCTTCATCATTACGTACAGCTAATTGAAGATGACGTGGAATAATACGTGATTTTTTATTATCACGTGCTGCATTTCCAGCTAATTCAAGAATTTCAGCACTTAAATACTATAAAAACAAAAACATGAGTGTTCTTTTTTTTTTTGTTGAGAAAAAACAACTTACTTCAAGTACAGCAGCCAAATAAACTGGTGAACCACCAGCAATTCGTTCACTATAACTACCTTGACGTAAATGACGATGAATACGTGAAACTGGAAATTGAAGACCAGCACGAGTTGATCGTGATTTGGCTTTGCTTCGTACTTTTCCACTACCACCTAAAACACTAGCATTTGATTTACCTCGACTTGACATTTTGTTTTTTTGGTTCGATTGTAATTAATAATAGAAATAAACTATTGATAAACTTTACCTTGTGTTTTCTTTTTCTATATATAGACAATATGTCTATACACACAAATGAACCAATAGAATGTGAATAATCGTGTGTTTCTATTCGTTCATATATATTGTCAGTGAATTGGTCTATATAAGTATAACATTGTTGTTCAAATTCATTCTCATATATTCGATTATTCTTCGTCAAACAGCGATTAATATAAAAAAAAAATTCAATATGGCCCCAAAAGCTCAAACACCATCAAAAGGTTCAAAGAAAGCTGTTACCAAAACTAGCAAAGGTACAGCTGGAGCTAAAGGTGAAAAAAAACATAGACGTCGACGAAAGGAAACCTATTCAATCTATATTTACAAGGTTCTTAAACAAGTTCATCCAGATACTGGTATTTCATCAAAAGCTATGTCAATCATGTAAGTCATTATATATGAATTATTATTTTATATTGATTTCTATCCTATTTTTGATAATATAGGAATTCATTCGTCAATGACATCTTCGAACGTATTGCTGCTGAAGCTTCACGTTTATCACATTACAATAAACGATCAACAATTTCATCACGTGAAATTCAAACAGCTGTACGACTTTTATTACCTGGTGAATTAGCTAAACATGCTGTTTCAGAAGGTACAAAAGCTGTTACAAAATATACAAGTGCCAAGTAAAATGGTGACTTGAATAATGAGATGAATAAAATCACTCTCAATTAAAGAATCTTAAAACCCAACAGCCCTCTTTAGGGCTAAAATTATATATTATACATTTAAAAAATATGGTTTCGTCTTAAAAAAAACTTTTCACTTGAATTTTGCTGTTGTTTCGTAGTTAATAAAATATTCAATAAATAAATAAATGAAAATTAATTGAATTTTATTCTGAAGAAAAAAAAATGTATTTCATGTGTACAGATTAAGAAAATGATTGAAAAGACAAATTTTTTTTTTGAATATTGCAGAATTATTAAAAAAAGTATGCGGTCAGTTTTCAGATTAGTAGTTCTAACGTAAACATTTGCATTACACTCACAGGGCTAATTGGAACATAAAGAAAATTTTTTTTCTCATTGTGATTTTTTCATTTGTTCAAATTGATTGAGAATGTGACGAACTAACTTCATCAAACATTTTCTCTTTGCGATTGCTTGTTTTCTTTTCTCTATCGTTTATTGAGAAAGGAAATATCATTGTTTTCAGTTGACATGACTCCTTCAACACTGAGATCAGTTTCATTGCAAGAAGTTCTGCTGCCAAATAAAAAGTACATAAACTTTAATCATTGTGACTACGAATAAAGATCGGTAAATTCTGATTGCAAGCCGCAACGCGCGGTTAATACCTCTTGATGCAAACAATTTACGATGAAAACATTGTTTTTTTTTTCTTTAATGCCGAAAAAACGGCTTATTTGATACTTTTCTGGATTTTCAATATTTAAATATATTAAACTCAATTTTCCTATTAACAAATAAAGAGTGACTAGAGAAGATTTTAAGGTAAATGGTTAAGATGAGCTGGAGATATCGACTATTTCTCAAAGAATCCTTCATAAATCAGATAAACGAAAACTGTTTCACATAGAATTTTTATTGGTGATAATACTAACTCTCAGATTTGTTTTCTATGTTATTCTTCTAACTCTCGTATGAACAGCGATATTACCTAGTAGTAAGACTTTTTGCCGCTACTATCTTTTCTAACAAAAAAAAAAAAAAGAAATTCCTATCGATCTCTTCTTGCTAGAAGAGATCACATGTATATATATCTTTCACATAACTAACAGTTTCAACGCTATTGGTTTTTTTTGTTTGTTAAATATTGTCATTGGTTTTATTTACAATAGAAAACAAAATCTTTGAAAATTCATATCATATACTTATAAGATGAAATATCAACCGAGCATAATTTACATGATCATCAAGTTTTTAATTTGAATTTTTTTTTTGACTAGAAGAAAAATGTGAATTTACAATTTCAGTGTTGTTTTTTAAGACTCGATTCCATATATTTGAATTTAAAATGTGATAGCCCTAAAGAGGGCTGTTGGGTTTTAAGTAGTTTTTTTGAGAGCGATATTATTCATCTCATTTGTTTTTTATCTTTCATCATTAAATCATTTAAGCACGTTCACCACGGATGCGGCGGGCCAATTGAATGTCCTTTGGCATGATGGTAACACGTTTAGCATGAATTGCACATAAGTTGGTGTCTTCGAAGAGACCGACTAAGTAGGACTATAAAAAGAAAAAGATTAATTTTTTGAAAAAAAACAAAAAAATTAAAATAATAGAAACATACTTCACAAGATTCTTGTAAAGCCATGACAGCTGATGATTGAAAACGGAGATCCGTTTTGAAGTCTTGTGCAATTTCACGAACCAATCGTTGAAATGGCAATTTTCGGATAAGTAATTCAGTCGATTTTTGATAACGACGAATTTCCCGAAGAGCTACTGTACCTGGACGAAAGCGGTGAGGCTTTTTGATACCACCTGTAGCTGGTGCCGATTTTCGTGCAGCTTTAGTTGCTAATTGTTTTCGTGGAGCTTTACCACCAGTTGATTTACGTGCAGTTTGTTTTGTACGAGCCATTATTGATTATTTTTTTTTTAAGTAAACGTTTGAAAGCGATGTAAATGTTTACGAGTTTGAATACAGAAGAAACGAAAGAAGAGGAACGCTCTATATAAATAGGACGGTCACCTCTATATTATTGGTCTATTAAGAAAATCGTTAACTAGCCAATGAATATGATGAGTCTTTGTTCTCTGAATAAACCAATCGATATATATTTGTTTGAACAGTATATAAGTGTCGGTTAGAATCATTCTTTTCTTCACATTTCATCATACCGTATTCTTCATTTTTAAGTCAAATAAATACATTAAACAATGTCCGGACGTGGTAAAGGTGGTAAAGGTCTTGGTAAAGGTGGTGCCAAACGCCATCGTAAAGTTTTACGTGATAACATCCAAGGTATATTTATCAATTCAATTAATTGATTACAATTCATATATGTTTTTTTTATAGGTATTACAAAACCAGCTATTCGTCGTCTTGCTCGACGAGGTGGTGTTAAACGTATTTCTGGATTGATCTACGAAGAAGTTCGTGGTGTACTCAAAATCTTTCTTGAAAACGTTATTCGTGATGCTGTTACATATACAGAACATGCTAAACGCAAAACAGTTACAGCTATGGATGTTGTCTATGCACTCAAACGACAAGGTCGTACACTCTACGGTTTCGGTTCATAAGCAGTTTGTTTACTGCTTGGCCGGATGAGATGAATAACATCACTCTCAATTAAAAACAACTAAAACCCAACAGCCCTCTTTAGGGCTAAACATTTTTTCTTTTTTAAATTCAAATATGTGGAAACGAATATAACACAGATACACTCTTATTATACTTATAATATCAGTTACAAGGACGAACATGTCATTTGAATTAAAAGGTGGCATAGAAAACTGAAAAGTTATTGTTATCTAGCTAAATGAAATACTTTGATATGCAGGTCAACAAGGAGAAGAATAATAATAACAACGATAGTGTCATGTTTTTTTTTATTTCTAATCTGCATGTTTTATTCTGTTATATGATATTGCTGTTGATGCTTAGAATAAGTTGAATAATTTCAAATGAATGCGTAATGTTTATTTCTAGATTCTATAGAAATATCTTTATAAAAATAGTATAACATTGAATTGAAAGAAGAATTTTTGTTGTTTGTAAAATATAAAACATGTATAGATTTATTGAGGTATTGTTGTTCTGTAATAATATATTCTTGTATAACGCAAACTGATTTTTTTTTGAATAAAAAACAAAAGCATTTTTGTTATCAACACTTGTATATGTGTTCTTAAATTAGATTGAATATATATTTCCAACTAAAATATTTTATGGAAAAAATAGTTAAACATCCTTATTTATGGTGGAAAAGGAAATTGAGAAATATTAAGATATTCGGTAAAAAAACGACCTATTAGATATGATAAACATTTTAGACTTAATAATTTATTATTATTGATTATTCTTTGATATGTCATCATATATATGTCATAAAAAAATAAACAAAATAAATATTCGTTGACATAAAGCAGCAATACATAACCCCAAATAATCATTTATAATAAAATATTAGACATATGTAATGTTTTAAAAGACAATATGATCATATAATATTCTAGAATATCAGTTAATTTTACACTATGAAAGAATTTATCAATTGATTCATGAGATGATATTCTAGCTACGAATACATAAATAATGTGGACTTCAATTCTAAAAAGAAGAATACATTTTATTCAAAACAAAACAGGCTGTTGTTTCGTTATTAAATCATATGTTATCAAAGAAACAAAAAATGTGAAAGTGTAATAAGTTGCAAGATAGAATCATGGAAAAGTTTCTCTATAATTTGACGTTATTAGGAGTATTTCATATAGATTTTCTCTCGTGGAAGCACTATTTGGAACTCCAGGAAGCGGGTCTAAATCTTTGATTTTTTTTCACTAATACCTGGCACCCTCTGTGTACATTGAATAAGTGAAGGATCAAGGTCTTAACTATTTATTGGTTACTCTTTCCTATCATTTGATACTTAATAAGTTAAACGTTTTCGCTTAGTTGAAAAGAGCATTATACTAACAATACAAGGATATTGAATAGTTAATTGATACACAATATTCATCATTAAAAATCGTCAAGCCGATAGTAACAGCAAAATCTTCAGTTGTATTTATGGAAATGAGATCAAGCAAGAATATGTTCTATGCAATCAATGTGTAGATTTACTTATTTATAAATCATCTTCGAGTACTAATTTATTATCTATACATATTATTCGTTGTTAAACTAGAAAAACGATAGTTTCCAATTTTCAAATAAGTATCAATTAATGTTATGTATCTTCTAAAACTGAACTAGCTATTTCAGATCGAGAACATTTGTCTTCAAAACTTTGCATGTTTTTCGCTGTAACAAAATCTGTACTTTTACGATACAAATGTTTTTGAATCTTCCATATGAGTTTGTGTGCATATTCAGTAAGTTCCACGAAATGACAATTTTGATGATTTGATCTCCATCTTTTATCCGAAATAAATAAAAGTGGTAAGTTAGTCTTCAGAGCTTTGATAGGACAGAATCGAATCTAGGTGAAATCATCTATTGTTCTTAAGTTAATTCAAACCTTATAGCTGAAAAATGAAATCGTTTTGTACCGCATTTATACAACCTTTTGCAAATTTTCTTTTTTTTTATTTACTAGGCATACACATCGAAAGTTATCATTGTCTGTTGTGATGATCTTGAGAACGAAGAGTGAGAAAATACGCAGATAGATAACCTTGTACTGTCTTATTTACGCATCGAAGAAGATAATGGACTTGTAGGAAATCTTTTTCTGTACAAAACTCTTATATTTGAAATCAAAATCGATTACATTTCTTCAACTCTATACCTTTTTGTTCAGAGCAAAAACATCAACTGATAGGCCATAGGGTCATTAGAAGTTACGGTTCGATTGCACTCGTTCAGCATAACTATATGGTTTTTTGAGTAGATACGATTTGAACTAAACAGAAACCAAAAACTCCGGTTTGTTTCGAGCTCTGATTATTATAATAATATAACAATGTTATATTGTATAATTCAGTATATTGATGGACTTATCAAATGTTTTAATAGGACATTGCTATTCTTTATTGTAATACTTCTAAGATCTTATATTAATTTAATATTGTTGAAATAAGTTTATTGAATTTCAAATAAAATTCAGTGTCAAAGTTTGAATATTGTTCTGTTAAAAATAAACAAAAAAAAAATTGTTAATGAAAAAAAAAACCACATTAAATTCATATTTATTCTATCATATTTAATAAAAATATGTTCAATATTTTCTCTCTCTCTCTCTTATATAGATATTGAATATTGTAGTATCGTTTTATACAATCTCTTCTCGTTCTAATTAGTTTGCTATATCAAGTGTTCGAAGATAAGGTAGAACTTGGGAGACATATATAAAGAAATCACTTTCAAATGGTTGGACATTATCGAAAAGTAATAACATGGTGACCATTGAGAACGTTTTATTGCTATCAAAGAGTGGAAATCGATTTGAAATGAAATCAAGACGATTGTCAAAAAATGCAAGTAAATAGGTTTGACATCGATCATTGAAATAGTCAATTGTACAAACAACAGATTGTTGTTTGATAAAACTTTGACAAATTGTATCAACTTCGATATAAGAAGAATCTCGCGTAATATTAAATGAATATGAAAATTAAATTGGCATAAATGAGGCATTGTATGAAACAATATTTTTTTCTAAATGAAATCTATCAATAAGCCGATCAGATTCAGTTATCATAATAGCTAATAGTAATGTTAAATGTTGTAACAGAGGAAGAATAAATTGTTCATAGTCTAAAATATTACAATATATTGTTATTTTTAATTCTTTTAAGTTGCACCAATATATCAAAATAAAATTAATGAAACAAAATATCAAATAAAGACATAAAACTTACTGATTCAATTTCAGATATGATATCTTCATTGTCTAGATAAATGTGTATAATGTTCACAGTAAATGAATATAATTGTGAACCTAGTTAATTCAATAAACGAATACAATGAATTAATTTAAATAATTTGATCGATACATGACTAAGATAAGATGATTTAGCAAAGAATAATTTATCATTATTGACAGACACTAATAGCACAGCATCGTGATCAAAGTCAAAGGATTTAATAGAATACATAAGTGGTGAACAACGGATGAATAATAAAACTGAATCAATGAATTAATCTTCGATATAAACAGATTGAGGCACAGTTGAGAAAAGAGGAAAATCATGTAATTCAAGGTCATAATGTAAACCTAAATTTTACATATATATATATATGAATGAGATACGAAAGAATTTTTCATATTTTATCTCATTCTTTTTTATTATGACGAGAGATGTTAAGAAAATTGGATTGTTTTTCATGATGAAATATAGTAATTATTCAACAGATAAGTATGAGTTATATAAAATAAAGTAAAATACAGATTGAAAGATCTAATAGTTTTCAGAATATACATGTCATGTAACCTTCACCAGAAAAAATAATCCATAATCTTCTATGATGGACTAGTTTTTTATTGCCATTTACCTATTATAAACTGTCTAGTTTAAATAAAAGACGTTCGTGTGTAAAGTGTTGTCTTCTTCGAAAGTTTCAAATCAAACTAGGTCTTCGATTCGAATTAAGTGAAGAAAAAGGAGAGAGAGAGCCTTCTCTTTATTTCACAACATATCCATTTTAGTGTTGGCATGGATGAGAAACAGAGATCGAAATAGACAGACTTTTTGCAAGTATACTCTGTCTGTGCTTGTCATGTTATTTCTTCGACTGGGCTTGCCTGTGTGAAGATCAGCCAATTTATATATATATATTTATAAATGTCATCCTTGAAAACTAACTCAATTAAATATAATTTTTAGATATAAATTCAATTAATAAACAAAAATTTCCTATTGAAGAAAAAAGTAAACAGGCTAAATCTAAAAATCGTGGTCTGTTTAGAGCTTTGATGATCAATTCTCGTTGTTTCTTCGTTCTATGCGCTTAGAAACCGAGATAAATTATCATTCACCTATTTTGAAAGGTGTTCCAGTATAAAGATGACGATACCCTACTAATATTTTCAAATGTCTTAAATTAGGAAGAAGTTTATCAGGTATTGCTTTGACAGCAGCATCAATCGGTAACAAATGTTTTATGCTGATTGTCAATGATTGAATATTATTATAAATACGAGGTAAAACATCTATATGAAATCGTTTGAGAAGTAACGTATAAGGATTAAATTGATAATCAAAACTTAGATCAATTGAATGACATTTATCAAGAGCAAGATGTTCCAAACGATGATTTCCGATATTAACAATACAACAAAGCAATAACACTTGAGGTTTGATTTTGTTCATTATGTTAAAGATCATTTCATCTGGTAAGTCGAGTGGTTCGATAGTATCTTTCATAGAAGAAAAATTTAATATAAATTTTGATTTTATGAAATAATCACATACTTCTATTTGATGAACAGTTCATTCTTCAGTCAATATTGGATAAATATATTATTGTATATACATATATTTGAGTATATATTTGCATTGATGGACATTGTTTACATGAGAACTAATGACATTTGAGTAGAGTAAGTAGCGGTAAAATAGACAAAAAATTAATGAGGCTTAGTCAAGGGAGACCAAACTGATTTCAATAGTTGAAATCAATTTGAAATCACTTGAAATCATTCGAAATCATTTGAAATAACGAAATCAGTTGGCTTCCCCTTGTATTTGCACTAAAAGTACGTTCACTTGTGGCTGAATCAGCCAGAATTCCTAATAGCCTTTTCCAATATGCTAGGTTATGTATAGTTCAATAAACATTTGTCTCACTAGTCCAATGCTGATTCTTCTTTACCGAAACTTTATTTCGCCTGAATATAAACATAACTTCTTCTAAACCAGAGAGACATCAGGAGTGTCTTCGTAGTTGCTTGCCAAAAGGCCCTTAGCAATATAAACAATATCCTAATTCTATCCGAAATATTTGCTGTATCATTCTTTCTTTACCCTATCCTAACGTTTCTTACTCTATCCTATCCTACAGAGTAGGGTAGGGTTGGATAGGGCTACCTTGCAGAACTCTAAACGCGATCCACACCGTTCCAATAAAAAAAAAACATATTGGTCTTGGGACCGGGACCATGTTGCTCATATCTAATTATAATGGTTGTACTAAGGCTCAAGAAGAACAAACTGATTTCGTGATTTCGAATGATTTCAAATTGATTTCAACTGTTGAAATCAGTTTGTTTCCCCTTGGTGCAAATGAGAGAATTTTGGAAAAGAGAAAATAACACTTAAACGGTGTCATTGTTAATGATATTAGGCTTTTACGAAAATTTCGAAGCATGTGATAATTTTATATTTAATAATTGTTGCAAATCAATAAAATATGCCGAAACATAGTGAAAAATCTTCCTTTTGACATCTATCAAATTATAGAAATCTAATGATGTGGAAGGATTTATGAGAGAAAATTTATTCAGGAGGGAAGCATGAGGATACGAAAAAAATCTTACCTTGGAGGACTCTTGTACGAATGTGGATGAATGCGGCTGTGACTCTTGTCTTCACATACACCTGGAAGAAGTACTTTTGCATCAGCATATGCTAGAACCGTCTAATGATCTTATTCGCGAAATTATCTCCATCATGCAGGGCTCAATATGTAACATTTGATAAATGTTCGAGGATGTAACTGTGGGTGAGTGTGATTTTTCTTTTCACCCATTCACACAACACTCACACTCCATACCCTCAATTCACGTAAACATACGGTTGTTGGTAAAAACCAAGTAATGTTGTCAGTTATAAATACAGAGTAAAGCCGGTTGCAAGTAGACAACATAAAATTTGTACACTGTAATAGCACTTAGCATGTAAATATATTTAGTTTCCAATATTATTAGACTAGTGATAAAATTAAAGTTGAAGGTAAAGAATAGTTACAAACAAGAAAAAGACGGCACAACATACACATATGGAATTTTTATGGCCGCGAAATAATTTTAAGAAAGTTTCGCTTGATGATACTTCAGATATGTAATTGATTGTCTTGATTGAAGTAGCTCTTACATATAAAATAGTCATGATGTCATTTTATGAGTTGATTCAAATATTTTCGAAAATGTTTCTTATTGAGCGTCAACGATGATTTATTGGAAATATGTTGAAAAAAACAACTTTGATAAGAAAATGATCTTACCAGTGTAGAAAAAAAAGGCAATTATTCATATATTCTCAACGAATTGTTATCAATATAAGAGTCGATATTTGTGCCTACCATGTTTCTTCGAACGAATATGACTGCATATAATTGATTTATCAGGCGATTACGCTACGAAAAATAAAAGCACGTGAAATTGTGCACATAGGCAGAAGGAACTAATTTTTTTCTAATCTTATAATAAAAGATATCTTTTTATTTTTCTTTTTCTTTCTTTAAGTATATAAATTACAATACATGACAAATCTCAGTGATATTATCACTGGATTCGACACAACTATTTACCTACTTACTCACCTATCTATTCATAAATATATATGTCTACCTCGCACACTAAATCAGGAAGAAAAGCGTTAGTTGACTAAATGCCTGCCTATAAATCTACGCAGGTAGGTAGGTAAATAGGAGGTCCAAAAAGCCATCACTCAAGAATCTCACTAGTTTCCACAAAGTTAGGTAGGCAGGTAAATAGGAGGTCAAAAAACCATCACTCGGAACTCTCACTAGTTCTCATAAAGTTAGGTAGGTAGGTAAATAGGAGGTCAAAAAACATTACTCAAGAGTCCCACCAGTTCCCATAAAGTTAGATAGGTAAGCAGATGGGTAAGTATGTGGATGCTGCGAAAGAATTGCCCACAAAAGGACTGGTCGCGAAAGAAATGGCGACAATACGACACACATCACATGGCACTTTCTGCAGGTGCCATGAAAGGACTGGCTTGTGTGGTACACTCCTTTAGGAGATTTGGAATGGATTTCCTGGAAATGCAATTTATGCCCATTATGGTCATTGTGGCCATTATGCCCATTTTAAATCTATTCATCATATCCTTGCAGTAAAATCAGTTTCCTGGAAACTAATAGAACGCATCAATCGTTTGTCTGTGGATATAATATTTGTGGCGGCAGATTTAGCGGTATTTTCGAGAATCGATGGAGTTTTGCATTTCTTTGATTGCTCGTTGTAGTGTTGTATGAGGGGTGTTACCAAAATATGAACACATTTGAAGTCGATAAGTGGATATTTCTTTGTTGGTAGGAACTTAAACTACCTTTGAAGAAAAGTCACGCGTTGACCCACCACACACTCACATGTTCTTATACAGGGCCGAGTAACTCTGAGAATTTGTTATGCAATAATTTTTATGCATCACATACGTAAGATATCTACTACATATCCATGATATAGTTTAAATTATTCGAACTGGTTGTGCACAAACTATGGGCTGTGTTGTTGTATAAAATTTATACTCTTAATACGTGATATTTGTTTTAACCATTACATATAATTCATTTATAATGCGTTAATTAATTTTTATTGATTTATTATATAATGTTTATATTTTACATTTTTCTATTATTTTCAATCCATTTACATTGTGCAAGTTGCATTTTAATCGTGTAATAAAAATGATATCTATATAATATAGGTTTTTTATCTATAGGATTTAATTTGTTCATAACGCATAATTTGCATTTTAGTGTTCTAAGACTTAGTATATATTATACATATTTTCTCTATTACATTTAGCTTATATCTTATAAGTTAGGTTTAACGTTTCCAGTTAAGATACTATATGGTCTTAATCTATTATATGTAATTCATCTAGGTTATATAACAACTCCTTTTGTGCCTTAAAATAGAATAGTTATATATTAAATATTTTGATCTATTACATTCAATTTATCTATAACGTATAAGTTTAGTTTTAGTTACGTAATATGTAACTTTTGTATATCATAGTGTTTCACCTTATTACATTAGGTTCATTCCCGCCCTATAAGTTTTGCTCTAGTGATTTAATGTATAACCTCGATATATCATATTGTTTTATCTAATAAGATTTATTTTGCTGTTAACGTATAAGTTAAGTTTTAGTAATTTAATATATAGGTTTTGTATTTTATATTGTTTTCGCTTATCATACTTATTTATTTTATAATGATAGCTTATTCTCAGTTATTCAATAAATAATACATCCATATTATATTGCTATATCTAACTAGGTTCATGTAAAATTTTAAGTACAAGTAAAGTTTTACCGATTTATTATATACTTTTTATATATATTTCATATTTTTTTTGATCAACGACATATATTTTATTTATAATGCATGCTTTTTATATATTACATGCTTTTTTTACGTTTTATTTATTCATAATCACCGATTTAAATACAGTTTTTTCACTAGATATTATTTTTACGTTATATATATGTTAGATACACGTGCTAATAAGATTTTATTCTATATACTTACCTATCTACCTATCTCACCGTATAAGAACTAGTGACACTTTTGAGCGATGTTATTTTGACCTCTCATTTTCCTACATACCTACCTGACTTTATGAGAACCAGTGAGAGTTCTGAGTGATGTTTTTTTGACCTCTTATTTACCTACCTACCTAATCTACGTTTGAGATCTTTTTTGAACATTGATCTGCAATTCGAATAATATTACCAATGGAATCTGTCATGCACTCTTTTATATGATTTAACGGGATTTAAAATGATTTAATTTTGATTTTTCAAATGATTTAAATAAGGTTTTCCCTCCTAGTCTTTACCTCATATAAAGTTCAGAGTAACGGAACAAAGAAACACCCTTTTTATGTATGTGTGTACGTGTTTCCTCATTCATAGGTCAACAAAAATGTCTAACAGCACTCCTGTTTTTATTGCCTGTAATGGAACTCAATCAATGAATTATCTAAGCTTTTCAATGTCAGCTTCAATATCAGTCGATATACTTCGACAGACGACATCAGAACGACAGCTAGCATTACAAGTAATTTATGTACTGCTGGCTACAATACAATTCACAACGTCTATCATTTGCAATTTATTAATGATTGGATCTTTATTACAAAGAAAAATTCGAATTACAACATGTGGAATCTATTTACTACTTTTTAGTCTGGCTAGTTTACTTGCAATGAGTATATTTTATATACGAATTATTCTTACATTGTATTTTAACGAAGAATTTCATCGAAATAGTTTAATTCATTGTCGTTTGAGTATGATAACTTTAAACTGCGTACAACTCATATGTTTATGGACTGCTGCATTTGTATCAGTTGAACGAGTGTTAATTCAGTGTTTTGATTTCAGTATCTATCGCTCACGTAGATGCGCTATAGCAACGTCACTATTGCTGGTGATCCTGACGATAGCAG